GTTCTTACCCAAAGAGGCCCGAGAAGAAGGACTGGGAGTTCTTCACTCTGCGCTCGGCCTCGGCCAGCAGCGCCATCGCCTCCGCTTCCTTCCCGGATTTGTTCATGGCGGCCGCAAAAGTAGTCAGCAAACTGCCCGACCCAGGGCCTCGCAGGACTCCGCCAGGATCGGGCTGCGGTACACAGGTCTGAGAAGCTTAGTGGGCTGCGTTGACGTCGCACCGGCGCGCGCCTCCTGCGGACCGAAACCAGGTGATTCGCTCTGGCCAATCAGTGGCCTCGTAGGGCGGTGCGCTCCCCGCCGGCCACGCCCCCGCCAGCCGCCGCACGCCGCCCGGTGACACACAGCCTCCAATCGGCGACCTGAAGTTTCAACGCCTGCGCATACATCTGCCTTCAGCACCCCACTTTCTTCCTGTTATTCCGTACGATAACTCACGTAATTCTGCATAAGCCAATCGTAGCCCTTACCGTCAAAGACCCGCACCGAGGTGCTACCTTTCTGGATTCTCCTCCACCAATCAGCAGCCTCCCTACTGGGGGCGTCCTCCCTACGGAACTTGGGCCCTGGTCAGCTGACCGCTGATCCTCACGTGATAGCTTCCAGACTCTGTCGGAAGACACGCCCCGCTCACGTCAAGGTTTGACAGCTCTCTTGCGCAGTGTAGTCCCCGCCTCTGTTCCTTATCTCCCCTCCTTCTTCACTGGGAAAAAGAAACTCCTTTGCTTTTTCTTGCGCCCTCTGCTGACCGATGCTGAAACTGGTTTGGAAAGGCCAGTGAACTACATACTTGAGAGCCCGGGAAACTAAACTGAGAACAGAAGTTCTCGAACTCTGCTTCATTAAAAAAACAAAACAAAAACAGCTGGAGAGAGTGTATTACAGAATCAGGTTCGAACACACCTAGTGCTTAGATCTTAGTTTTTAATACTGTGGATGCAAAAGGGGCCACATACTAAATCTGACAAGCTCAGGGGAGGCCTGCATGGCAGGCACTACAAACTCAGAGACAGAAAGTAACCACATAGGATGGTCTGAACATAAAAAATATGAACTAAAAGCTGGTCATGGTGGGCAGTCACATCCTGGGCATACAGCTTCCTTGACAAAGATCAATCTTTACCTTAAGTGAGCCTGTCTATTGTCTTTCTGCATCTAAAATAACATACCTTTGAAATGTCAGACTAATCTATTCCAGACCCGTCAGGGCACAACCACCATACCAGTGTGGAAGACCACAGAACCCCTCATTGTCATCTTGTTCCTGGAGGACACCACACAACCCCTCGTTGTTATCTTGTTCCTGGAATACAATCTCTATATGCTGTAAATGTTAACGATCCTGTACCTACCAATGTAAAAGAGGTATGTGTCTCTCCGTTTTACTTTTTATCCAATTCCAGAGATTTCCCCTCACTTTGCTTTGCCCTACCCCCTTAATATACCACGAATGGATTTCACATAACCTTTCTTATGTCTCCTCCTGTGATTCTAATGTTTAAAATAAGCCGCATAACTGCCATTCTTTGGAGCATTTTATCAATTTGTTGAGATTTTGCTTCCTGGCAATTATTATCAGTTTAGCTTAAATATACTCATAAAAACTCTACAAGTTTGGACGTTTCTGATGTCTACAATACCATTCTCCAATAAAAGGAACCAAGGCTCCATGGGTAAATGGCTGGTTTTAGGACTGGAGCATCTTGTAGTGCCAGAAAGGAAGTTTCCTGTGCGTGCACGCGCGCGCGCACACACACACACACACACACACACACACACACACACACAATGGGGTATGTCAAGGAGACACAGGAGCCAACTGAAAGAGTTCCCAATGGCCAAAGCTGAAACAATTTTAGCAACAAAATAAAGTAGTATTGGATTATAACCAAATGTATAAAATTTCCATGAGCCCATGTTGATATAAATGAATAAATGGGGAAGAACTGACAAATATCCCATGCAAAAGAATTCCAAATGATTTATGTAGGTACTCGGCCCTCAGGAAGGTGGGGCATAACTCTTTACTCCTTAAGTGTGGACTGAGCACAGAGACTTCCTTCCACAGAGTACAGTATGGGAAGGGGAGGGGACTAAATTTACAGTAGGGAAGACTGACAAACATTGTAAGCCAGGTTATTGAGGTTAACATCAAAAGTGGTAAGTGATGAAAATGGCATTTCTCCTCCATGGTCTTCCTCCCAGCCTAATCATGGAAAAAATGTCAAACAAATCCCAACTGAGGCACATTTTCTAAAATACCTGACCAGGACTCCTCAAAACTGTCATCAAAAACAAGTAAAGTCTGAGAAACTGTCACAGTCAAGAGGAGCCTAAGAAAGCATGACTACTAAAAGTAGTGTGGTGTCCTGAGTGGGATCCCGGAACAGAAGAGGGACGTGAAGTAAAATCTAAGGAAATCTGAATAAAGTATGGATGTTAGTTAATAATAATGTATTGTAACAAATGTACCCTACTAATATAAGATGTTAATAAAGGAAACTGGGTATGGGGTATAGTGGAATTTTCTGTACCATTTCCCAATTTTTCTGTAAATCTAAAAACTATTCTAAGAAAGCTGTTTTAGAAAAAAATTCAAGTTCTAGAGCCCGACCTCCAATTATTCCAATTCTGAAAGCATGTAGCAGGATTCAGGAATCTGCTTTTTTTTTTTTTTTTTACAGAACCCACTCCCAAATGATTAGGATGCTGATCATCTGGGGACCACTGGTTGAGAAAATGCTGTTATCTGGGGGTGGTGGGGGGTGGGATTTGGCTGAGGGTGGTAAGGCACAAGAACCCTTATTCAACTCTCTTCTCATGTTCAGACTCTCCTGGACCACCCACTTGTGGCTGTCACTGTCTTCTGACCACAGATCAGGTGGGGGTGAGTCTGGATTACCACAAGCAGTTTCAGTTCTGTGTCTGTCTAAGCAACACTATTATAAAAGCTTCCATTTGTTTGAAGCTGTTCAATATTAGGGTGATTTGTTATGTGGCAATAGATAACTAATATACCATCCAACCCTTTTAAGCCAGAGTCTTTCATTTCTGAAGTCATCGAGCTTAACTTGTTATTTAGGGTGGGATCCAAACAATAGGAGTACAGGCGGCATGCTTGTTAAATAGCAGCTGCTCAGTTCACATGGTGCATCCTGCCAAATATTTAATTTATATTTTCTCATTTCACAGATACCTGGGGGTAGACATTCTCCATCGCATTTTACAAAGTGAGAAAAACTTTAGGTTCAACTAGGGAAAGTGACTTGCCCACGGTCACAAAGGAGGAGGAGCCAGGATGTAAGTTCTGGTTCACCTGATGGGCCTGAGCCCTTTCCCTTAACCACAGTGCCCCGCGGCTTCAAACGCCACTTCCTCCTCTGGCCCTGCCCTCTCCCTACCATCGCTAAGGTTTACTTAGCTAAAATGGGGCCCCTCTGTGAAGCCTCCTGATACTACCCTTGCTCCACCCTGCCAGACCCTCAGAACACAACATACACTATTACAGACACAATCATGCTCCCTGCGATTAGTCCTTTGACGTGCCCCTCTTCCCCATCTGAGTTAATGGCAGCTAGTCAGCTGCTACACCTGCCTAATCCATCCTTGCCTCACTACCTCTCCCCATAAGTGTGACCAGACAAGCCCGAGTCCACTTCTAAGATGCATCTCTAACCCCGCAGGGTCTGTCCTTCTTCACTGCCACCCCCCCCCCCAGGCCACTGTCATCTTACCTTGGGGCTTTCTACCTGCTTTCCAGGCTTCCAGTCTTGCCTCCTATGCAGCAGCCCAGGAGTTTTTAAAACACCTTTCACTAGTGTCCCCAAGGCAGAGTTTGCGCTTTGCTATGCCACACCCTGGACTCCAGATCTCAGCCTCCGCGGCCTCCTCAGCGTGGCCTTCCCTGGCCATCCACCTAACACCGCCTGCCATATCCTGGTCACTCCCTACGACTTAGCCCCTGCTTTATTTTCTTCATGTCACTTTGTGGTGGTCTGCCTACCCACTAGCCATTTCTGCTTCCTCTTCTTTTCCTGGCAAATGGAATTCCGGCAACAGACTTGCGGGAACACACTGGTTTCCCCCAGTCCTGGAGACAACTCTTGAGTGTCCAGGGTAACTGTGGCCATTTTCCTTCCCACTGATTCCCAGGGGTCAGTTTAGAAATGAGCACGGTCTACGGTTCTAGCCGATGAGACATGAGGGGCATTCTGCTGGGGCCTATGACAAGCTTTCCTCACTCTGAAAAAGGGAGTCAAGAAAGGAAGGGCCATGCTCTCTTTCCTGTGTAGGAGGAGGTGATTCTTGTCGCTGCTGCAGCCACACGCTGAGGCTGACCACTCCTGGTAGTGCTTGATTTCATGCTGAGCCACTGGAACCACCACCATACGGCCTGCTTGCTTAAACCTCTGCTGATTCTTCTGTTACTTTTTTTTTTTTTTTTTTAGCTGAGCCATCCTGCCACCTGTTGGCAGCTCAGCGGCTGCTCAGCTCGGGCCAGGCATCGAACCGCTGTTGCTCAGAGCTCAAACTCTTGAGCGAGCTCTTAACCAACTGAGCCACTCGGCCGGCCCCTCTTCTGTTACTTATGACCCGAAGCACACCCATGATCAATATATAAAATCACCCTTTTGCTTATTTATTACTGCTGCCTTCCTGCTCCTATACTGTATGTTGTATGAAGAAAGGGGGCTTGTCTTTCATCACTGCATCTCCGTCACATGGATTGGACACTGTCCAGCACATGCTACAGAATGTGTTTGCTGACTGCATGTATGGGGCTCCCAGCCCCTACTGGGCAGGGGCTCGGCTTACTCATCTCTGCAGCTCCGGCAAGTGGCAGGGACTTCAGAGTCCAGAGTGCTAACCGTTCCACAATGGAACCATGGCAGGGACTTCAAAGCCTCTGTTGGATCAAATGGCCAGGAAGCCAGAAGACAGCTGCTCAAGAACCCAATTTAATAAGATTTACAAGTCGACACGTACAAAAAACACCTAACAATGTACAAGTCATTGCAAGACTAAGGGCTGAATCCAGAATGCAGAGAGAGCCCCTGGAGGGGGCCCTGACGTATTGGCCATCTGAAGGTATTTTCCCACTGATTCTCTACGTCTTGGCCTTACCTAACAATGGAACCAAACCCCAAAACTGAGGCTAACATTTGAGAGCCACCCAGACCTAACTGTCCCCTCCCCTAGCCTCCCTACTCAGGAGGAGTGGAACTGAAAGAAGGGGAGAGACTATCACCCTAAAGAGACTGGATCCTCTGGCACCAGCCAACAGGGACTTCACAGTGGTCCGATGACTGTGCATTTTTCCACCTACTTATGGTCAAATGCCCACTGAGTCTGGAAGCTGGGCTGGTCCATGGGGGACACTAAAGGTTGGAGGGAGGCAGAGGGGTACCCCAAACACCTTGAAGAGGCCAAAGGGAGACATGATAGGGCTGGAGGTCCCCATCCTGACTTGCTGCCTTGCCCCCCCACAGCCATCCACCCAGGAATCACCACTGCAGGGGGCCAATGTCAGCCCCTATCTCCTTCTCCTCCTCCTCCTTCAGCTGGAAGGGCTTCACGGGCCACTTCACCCTGACGATGGGCTCCACGTGGTCCTGAAGCCGGTGCCGCTTCATGTGGGCATTTCGACTCTTGATCTTGTCGAACACCCTGAGGAGTCACCAAAGGACACAAGGGTCAGAGCAGGGGCAGGTGGGTCACCCCGAGGGTGGTGATGTGAGCTCATCAAGGGAAGGGGCCAGTACCTCTCACACTCTCTGCAGGGAAAAACGCCGTGGCCCTCCACGCTTCTGGGCGGCTCGGGGGTCCGCTTGGGGCCGGTGTTGGGGCTAGAGTTGAGGATGGACTCCCTTCTGTAACTCTTGGTCTTTATCTTTATTCCAGGGGTTGGATGGTGGCTGGGTCTCTCCGGAGGGCTGCAAGTGACCTGCAGAGGGGGCAGAAACCACAGTAAGGGTGCTGATCCTCCACGCTCACAAGGAAAACGCAGGAATCCAGGAAACAAACATCCTCTGCAGGGAAACCCTTCCTGTGGGGCGCCCTCCCTGACCCCCCCACTTAGATGGGCAGTGAGTGTCCAGGTCAGCACAGAACTCCAGATCCTGCACAACCCCCTACCTTTGCTTCTGTCCTGTCTGCTTCATCCAGATCTCTCTTGAGCCTCTTTTCCAGCCCTGGGGCTCGGCCACAGTCAAATTTGATCATTTTTTTCCAGATATAATAATACTCAACACACTGGGCTACGGTCTTTGTCTGGATCTAATGAAAGAAGACAGAAGCCGGCCATGGGCAGCCCTAAGTCCCCGCCACACGGGGCCAGCCACAGCTTTTTTTTTTTTTTTCTTTTAGCTGAGCCATCCTGCTACCTGTTGGCAGCTCAGCGGCAACTCAGCTAGGGCTGGGCATCGAACCGCTGTTGCTCAGAGCTCGCACTCTTGCACGAGCTCTTAACCAACTGAGCCACTCAGCCACAGCTTTTTAAAAGCCCTCTCCTTTGGCACAGCGTGCCCCTTCATTACAAGGGGCAAAGAGTCACAAAGTCCTCCCAGGTGATGAGGGGGTTCATAGTGAAGCCACCGTAGCCAAGACCATCTGAGCTCTGCATGCTCTGAGCAGCAAGGCCTTCCTAGGAATCCCTCCCTGTGGGAAGGTCGCGTCTTGCACGACATGAGCAGTGGGAGAACGAGAGGGGGCGGCGGAGGGTTAAGAAATAAAAGAAACAGCAGTCAAGAGTTAAATGAGTGTGGGGCCAAGGGTCTCCAGCCTCGTGGACTAAGAGCCCCGAATTGGGCCGATACACAGCTTTTATTTCTCCACCTACCGGGAAGTAGCATTGTTCTCTCCACAGTCTGTGAGTCTCATTCCTGAGAACTTGCTCAAGCCAGATTACCCATGCCTGCAAGCTGCTATTACCAAGAGTCCACCTGAGGCGATAAGACAGATGCTCTGCCTTCACACACCCTATATGCAAACTACCCCAGGAAGATAAGATTATTGTGCTGAGGACAGATACTATCACATCAATCAGGTCACTTCCCAAGCAGGTTGAGGGGAGGAATGTAGCTACAGAGGTAGAAAACTTCCAGTCTTTTTGGGGGGCGAGTGAGGGCACAAGCCCACCTCCATCAGCCCCGAGATTTCTCCTAATGGCCTCCACCCGACCGTGCCTGTCTTAGGTTGTTCCTCCCACGAGGAATCTTACCCGTCATTGACTAACCGGCCATCCTTTGGAGCCAAACAGGGAGATGCTAGGTGTATGAGCACTGTCCTCAAAAGGGTCAGTTTAGGGTTAAGTGGGGGGGGGGGGGGGGACATACGGCTGCACAGCTGCACGGCAACATGGGAAGATGCACATGAAGGTAAACTACAGGATGCTCACTGCGACATCCTGCCTAAAGGCCACAACCGGGACTCTGCAACAGCTAGGCAGAACCCCACAATACTGAGGAAAGGGGCCCATGGGAGGAGGAGCAGGTTTTGAGGGCACAGTTTGATCCTGGGGCATTCAGACCCTGCCATTTGCTCCATCCTCCAATAAGAAGTGACCCCATTAACAATAACTTCTGTAAAAACCAAACAGAATGGAAAATTTTAATTGCTCTAGAAAGAAAATGTCTCAGGAAAATTAAATCGGCTATTTAATATGTGGAGTGCACTTCAGAATATACCGGGGGTGCCAAAAAAATGTATACACATGACTTGTATTCATCTTTTGTTATTGGTATATACATATTGAGTATTACAATTTTAATACAGTTTTCCCCTTTCTTCAAATGTGTATACATTTTTTTGGCACCCTCTATACTTTCTCCACATGAATTGTTTTTCAGCTTTATGTGCATTTACAAACTAGGAGTCAAAACAGTACATCCTCTGCCTAAGAAATAGCTTTAGGTTAAAAAGAAGTTGGACTTCTGTTTCCAAACAAGATAGAGCAACAGAAACCAGACTGACCCTCCCATCAAAAACAATGAGAAGTATATGAAAGTATATATATATATACTTTCTGAAGTATATTCAAAACATATGAAACAATGGTTGGTAAGCCACTAGGCATCAGCTGAAAAAAAGTCTTTTCTGCGAGACAGAAAATCAACTACCACAGTCTCAACATACTACCTTGAAAGGGAGTCCAGGCCATGACCCCGGCCGGAGAGGAGGATCCAGGCAGGGCCCAGTGGACTTCCTGAGTTGAGGTGGAGTGTCTAGGGAGACCAAGGTGGTGAAAGTCCACAGAATGAAGTACAGCAGAAGAGAGGGCAGCAAGGAAGAAAACTCCAGAGGTCTGGAGCAAATTTGTCCCAAGCATTCAGCAAAGTTCTGAACAGCACATGTATATAAGGAGGTGACCCAAAGCTGGGTAAAGAACCACCCAAAAAGATTAGAGGAAAAGATGCCTGTAGCTCACACAGGGCCAGGAATAGAGCCTGTTCCCGCCATCTAGGGTGGAAAACCTCCAATTCATGGGGCACTGGTAGAGTAATGATAAGGGTCTTGCCTTAGTAATGAATAATAATTAGCCCTAGACAAAAAAGCTGGTCCCATCTAAAAAAATCTAAAAGCAATACTCAAAAGGAGCAAGTTGTTTTCAAGTAATTGTATCCCAGAACAAAGTACAAGAATATGTATAAGAATGCAAAAATATCCAGCACCCAACAAGCTAAAGCTCACATTGCCTGGAACCCAATGCAAAATGACCAGGCATGCAAAGAGGCAGGAAAACATGACACATAATGGGGAGAAAAACCAATCTGTTGGAATCAACACAGAATGGATACAGACATTAGAATTGCAGGGGAGAGTAAAAGTTATTATAACTGTAAAATATAGGTTCAAAAAGTTAAGACATGGAGGATATAAAAGATACCCAAATAGAACTTTCAGAGATGAAAACTATGACGTCTGAGATGAAAACTATACTGTGTGGGATTAACATCAGATTAGACACTGCAGAAGGTAAGATTAGTGAACTTGAAGATGCAGCTCTGGAAACCATCCAAAATGAAACACATAGAGAAAAAAGGATCAGTAAAAATGTAAAAAGCACCAGTGAGCTGTGAGCTGTGGGCCAACTGCAGGCAGTCTAACACACGTCTAAGTGAAGTCCTCAAAGGAGAAGGGAGGGACACGATAAGTATTTGAAGAAATAATGGATGAAATCTCCCCAAAGTGAATGGAAACTATAAACCCACAGGTCTAAGAAGTGCCACAAACCCCAAGCACAAGGGGAAAAAAAAGATGAAAATTACACCAAAGCAAATCAATAAAATTGCTCAAAGGCAAAACCAGTGATAAAGAGAAAGTCAAGGTAGAATTCTGTAATTAGTAAAAATCTTTCAGAAATGAAAGCAAAATAGACTCTTTTTTATATACAAAAGCTGAAAGAATTTATTACTAGCAAACATGAACTCCATGACATGTTAAATGATTTACATTGATTTCCTTCTGGAGATTGCTGCCAGATGGAAATATGGATCTACACGAAGGAATGCAGAGTGATGAAAATAGTAATTACATGGGTAAATGAGTAAGACTTATTTAAATCTCTCTAAAAAACATCTGACTGTGTAAACAAAAATAATAACACTGTACTGTGGGGTTCAGAACATGTAAAATAAAATATGTAACAGCAACAGTATAAAGGCCATAAGGAGAAATGGAAGTACACTACTATAAGGTTTTCATTCTGCACATGAAGTACTATCAAATCACTTGAATGTAGACTGTGGCAAATTAGTGGTGTATACTATAAACCCTAAAGCAATCACCAAGGTAGTAAGGAGTTACAGCCAATAAGCCAAAAAAGGAGATAAAATAGAATCCTAATATTGACTACATTAATCCAAAAGAAGGCAGAAAAGGTGGAAAGGGGAAATAAAGAACAAAATGGTCAGTTAGAGAACATATAGCAAGATGATGGACTTAAACCAAACCATCTCAATAAACCACAATAAATGTAAATAATATAAATACCCAAATCAAAAGGCTGAATATTTCATATGGAATAAAAAGCAACACCCAACACATGCTACTATAAGAATGCACTTTAAATAGGTTAAAAGAGGATGAAAAAGATATACCATGCTAACAACAATTGTAAGAAAGCTGGAGGGACTGGCTATATTAATATCAGAAAAAGTAGACTTCAAAGCAAAGAGTAATATCAGGGGTAAAGAAAATAATTTCATTATGATCAAAGGGTCAATTAATCAAGAGGACAAAAGAATCCTAAATGTTTATGCATCTAAATCAGAGCTTCAAAATGCATGAAGCAAAAACCTGATAGAACTGCAGGGAAAAATAGACAGTTACACAATTACAGTAAAATATTTTAACATCACATTCTGAATAATTGTGAGAACAAGTAGACAGTAAACGTATGGAAGACCTACACCACAATATCAACCGTCTTGAACTGACATTTATGGAATGCCACCCCCAAACAGCAGAATACACTTTCTTAAAGTGTGCACAGAACATTTACCCAGGTGTAGACCATGTTTTGGGCCATAAACAAATTTAAAAGGATTCAAGTCACACATGTTTTGGGCCATAAACAAATTTAAAAGGATTCAAGTATTTCTCTGATCATGATGACATTAAATTAAAAATCAATGACAGACGAACTCTGGAAGATCTTCAAATATCTGGAAACTAAATCACACACTTCTATACAATTCACAGGTCAAAAGGGAAATAAAAATGTATTTTGAACTGAATAAAAATGAAAACCCAACATACCATAATTTATCAAACCAGTACTGTGAGGAAAATTTATAGCACTAAACACCTATATTAGAGAAGAAGAATGGTCGCAAATCAGTGATGTTTGCTTCCACCTTTAGAAACAGAAAAGAGCAAATTAAACCCAGAGCAAGCAAAAGAAAGGAAAAAAATAAATAGCAGAGCAGAAATCAATTAAATAGAAAACAATCAACAAACCCAAAAGCTGGTTGTTTGAGAAAAATCAATAAAATTGATAAACCGCTAGCCAGGTTGATCAAACTAAAAAGACAAATTACCAGTATCAGGAATGAGAGTGGTGACATCACTATAGTCTATAGATACAAAAATAATAATATAAGATTATGAACTTTATGATACTATATCAGACAACTTAGAAGAAATGTACAAATTCCTTGAAAGACAAAAACTACCAAAACTCACCCAACACAACACTGATAACCTGAATAGCCCTGTATCAATTAAATAAACTGAATTTGTAGTTAAAAACCTCCTCATGAAGAAAACTCCAGGCCTAGATGGCTTCACTAACATATTCAAGGAATAAATAAAACCAATTCTAAACAAACTCTTCCAAAAAATTGAAGAGGAGAAAATACTTCCCAACTCAATTTATAAGGTCAGCATTACCCTGATACCAAAGCCAGACAAAGATATTACAAGGAAAGAAAGCTCCACACCAATGTTCTTCATGAACACAGATGAAAAATTCCAAACAAAATTTTAACAAATAGAATCCAACAATATATATAAAAAGGACAATACACCATGACCAAATGGGGGTCATAATGTAAATGGAAAACCTAAAATTATAAAACTTCTAGAATAAAACAGGGGAAAATCTTTGTGACTTCGGGTTAGGTAAAGATTTCTTAGATACAACACCAAAAGCATGGTCCATTAAAAAATTAATAAAATGAACTTAACCAAAATTTAAAACTTTTCTTCAACAGACACTTTTAAGACAGCAAAAAGCCACAGTCAGGGAGCAACTATTTTCAAAGCACATACCTGGATAAAGGACTCTTGTCCAAAACAAATAACTCCTACAACCCAGTAAAAACACAAATACTCCAATAAAAACATCGGCAAAAGATATGAACAGGCACCTCACCAAAGAAGGCATGCAGATAGCAAACAAGCACATGAAAAAATGCTCAACATCATTAGTCACTGGGGAAATGCAATGAGACATAACTGTAGGCTCATTAGAATGGCTAAAATTAAGAAGACTGACCATATCGAGTGTTGGTGAGGGTGTGGAGCAACTGGAACTCTCATACTGTGCTGGTGGGAATGTGAAATGGTACAATCACTTTGGAGAACAGTTTGGCAGTTTCTCAGAAAGCTAAACATATGCCTACCATGTGATCCACTCATTCCCCTCCTAGGTATTTACCCCCCCTAAAAATAGTATATGTCCATGCAAAGAATTGTACATGAATGTTCACAGCAGTTTTATTTATAATCGCCAGTAACCGGAAACCACTCAGATGTCCATGAACAGGTGAATGATTAAACAAACTGTGGTACATCTAATGGAATACTCCCGAGCAATGAAAAGGGTGAACTATCAGTACAACATGGATGAATCTCAGTTATGCTGAGTGTAAGAAGCCAGACAAAGCAGAGCACATGCTGTATGATTCTTCCATTTATGTAAAATTCTAGATATTACAAACTAATTTATAGTGACAGAAAGTAGATAAGGAGTTGACTAGGGATGGGTGGCTGGAAGGAGGGTTACCAAGAGGCAGGAGAAAACTTTTGGGGGTGACGGATGTGCTTGTTATGTTGACCATGGTGGTAGTTTTACAGGTGCATAAATATATGAAAACATCAAATCTTGGGCCGGGTGTGTCGCTCAGTTGGTAAAGAGCTTGCTCAAGAGTGTGAGCTCTGAGCAACAGGGTTGCCGGTTCAATTCCCACATGGGCCAGTGAGCTGTGCCCAAGTTGAGCTGCCGCTGTGCTGCCAACAAGTGGCAGGATGGCTCAGCTGGTGAGAGCACGTGCTCCTAACAACAAGGTTGCCAGTTCGAGATGGTGGGCTATGCCCATCTGCAACTAAAAGACTGAACTCAGCACCTTGAGCTGAGCTGCCGCCTGGGGGGGGGGCGGGGGGGAGGCTCAGGGCATAGAGCATGCGCTCTTAACAACAAGGCTGCTGATTCAACTCCCGCATGGGATGGTGGCTATGCCCACCTGCAACTCATTGATCACAGTACCTTGAGCTGAGTGGCGCAACTGGACATGAAGCTGAGCTTGCTGCACCCTCCACAACTAAGATTGAAGGACAACTACTTGGCTGTTCCCCTCCCCCAACTCCCCAATAAAAATCTTAAAAAAAAAATCAAACCTTACACTTTGATTATGTGAAGTTTATGTCCATAAAGTTAAAAAAAGAACAAAAATGTCAGCAGGGTATTAATAGCATGATATCATGCTTTTTTTTAAAAAGATTTTTATTGGGGAATTGGGGGATGGGTACAGTACTGGGGAATTGGGGGAAGAGGAACAGACAAGTTGCTGTCGTTTTTTGTTCTTCAGTCTAGTTGTGGAGGACGTTGCTTCAATGGCCCAAGTTTGCACCATCATTGCGCTCTTCCTGGGCGATGCAGATCAATCGCCGGCTTCTGGTCGGCTGCTCACTGCGGCTGCTGGCCGCTCACACTGGCTGCTGGCTACACACGGTAGCCCATGGCAACCCACTGCAGCAGGGGCTGCAGCCTACGCCGTTGCCAGCGACTCATGGCAGCCCAGCTCCAGGTTGAGCTGTTGTTCAGCATCTTAGCTGTAGAGGGCAGTGTCACTGGCCCTCATATGTGGGATCCGAACCGGGGCCCTCTGGCGTCCCAAGCCAGCTCTTAACCAATGTGCCACTCGGCCGGCCTGATCTCATGCTTTTTTAAGTATGCCTATACATATGTGTAAGATCTGTATAGGCAGAGAAATATCTCATGTGTACAACCAAACAGAGGTTATCAATCAGAAGTAGGACTGTGGGGAGGGGTGTGGAGGGCTTTATTTGAGCATGTGATGTATTTCTCTACTGTTTGGAGTTGTTCACAACAATGGCTTTTTAAGATTATAAACTGTTTACAATATGAACAGTGTCGTCCCTCGGCTCAACTGTGTGAGGCAAGGCCTTGTCTACACCAGCCCACCCATGTTTGCCTTACCGTCTTGTGTATCAAGTAAAAGTCTTTCTTGTGGGCACAGAATGCCTTCTTAAACAGCCTCTTCTCCATGGGGGTCCAGACGTCTGAACCTATCCGGGAAACAGCCAAGAAAGGGAAGGACGTTTCTCTGCCTGGGACCACAGCCATGGCTGAAGGGCAGACCACCCTCCTTTGTAAACTACCATTACTGAGCACCAATTATGTGCCAAGCATTCTGCTAAGCCCCTTGCCTGCTTTATCTCATACAACCCTCTCAAAAACCTTAGCAGGTAGGGATCATTATTATCCCCACTTTACAGATGTAGCAACTGAAGCTTCCATTGGTTAAGAGACTTGCCAAGGGCAGGTGGAGGCCTCAGCCACTTGACTCCAGGGCTGGTGTGCTCAGCCGCTGGACCTGAGCCTGCCCCCAGCCCACCGTGGCCAAGGGCATTCCCTTCTGGGCTGGGCAGAGCCCATGAGGAAACTGCTGGAAAAGGGAAAGGCAGGATCCAACTGGAAGAAAACGGCGCCCACTGAGTCGCCCTGGAGAGGACAGGCCCTCCTGGAAAGGCAGATAAAGCCCTCAAGAGGCACCGGCAGAGCTTGCCATTGAAGCTGACTGGTTCCCGAGGGTCTCAGCCAGGCAGAAACCATGCTGCCAGCTTACTCCAGTCACCTGTGTAGCGATAGTCGGCAAGTGGGTGAGTCTGCGGCTTCTGGGGTCCTCTGAGTAGGAGGGTCTCCAGGGCAACCTGAAACAAGAGGGTTGGCAGGCTACTTACCAGAGAGGGAAGGTGAGGTAGAGGCCCGCCTTCATTGTCTCACTCATTTGAAAACTATGTACAGCCTTCCCCATCCCAGGGCTGCTCACCGTGGGGTGGGTCCACCACATGTGAACCATCTAAGCACACTGTTCGGGGCAGCTGACACTATTTTCTCATAGCAAGATTTTCTTGATGAAGGAAACAGTGTGTGTGTTTATTCCGGCACAAGCTCCGTATTCCTTTAAGGACCAGCATTGGAGTAGCACAGCCCTTGCCCATTGCCCCACTTTATTTTCTTCATAACACTAATCATTATCTTAAAATTTAAAAACATATTTCCTGTTTTGACTCTCCTAAAATGTAAGCCCCATGAAGAGGGGGATTTTGTGTTGCTCACCAGCAATAACCCCAGTTGGGATTGGCTGTGTAATTTGCAGGGCCTGATGCAAAATGAAAATGGACTCGTTAAAAAATTAAGAAGTTCAAGGAGGTGGCATCAGAGCCTTGAACCAAGCATGGGGCCCCTGAGCCATCCCTGGCCCCAGGGCCACACATCACCAGGCACTCAGTGGGACCCACTAAATGTGTGATTGCTCTGCTGAGCACCTGCTACGTGCCAGCCACAGCCTCTCAGCTTGAGAAAAAGCATTACTGTGGCACTGCCTCTTGAGTCCCTAACTTGGTAACTTGCCTTTTCCTCTCCCACTCCTCAGAGTTGGGCTTTTAATGTATTTTCTAAATCTCAGGATTGCATGGGGGACCCCTGATGGAGGCAGACACATTTCTGTTGCATCAAAAGTTTTCATATATGATGTTTTGATCAAAAAGATAAAGCTCAATACATAAACCAGATCAACGCAGGGCCTGAGTCGTGTCTACTGGGCTCCCCTCTCCACTGCCCCCCAGATATCTCAGAGGAACCCTGGCGCCCTGTTGTTGCCCCATATAAATCACTGACTAACTGAGCCCTTATCTGCCCATTTCCCCACCAGTTCTTAAGGACCACATCAATCCAAGCCACAGGGGAAGGATGGGTGACCTTCCTTCAGTCTTCATAGTTGCCACCCCCCCACGAAGATGGCACATGGCATGGACCTGGAGCCCAACCCCCAAAAGGACAGGAAGTGTCACAAGGCTCCTCTGAGCACTGGCCCCCTCACCTGAACGTTGCCCTGGGCTTCGTGCAGGCAGTGCAGAGCGAGCTCCAGGTTGGTGCCCCCACCTGGCATCACACTGGAGCAGGCCACATTGCAGAGTTCAGTCACTGTTTCCAGCAAGTGGCCCAGCAGAGGGAGAGGAGACACAGGGAGTCAGCAAGGGCTAGGGAGGAGACTCCCCGACAGCACAGAGATGGGGCTCCTTGTTACCATCTCCCTCACATCTCCGTTAAGGCAGGCTGAGAGAAGGGAGGGACAAGGAGGAAGGACAGGAACCCTGCTCCTAGCACCTGCTTTGGATGGCCTGGCCAGCTACTGTGAGAAAGGAGACAGCAGCATGGGAGAAGCAATACAGACTGAGGGCTAGTCCCCACCCTCTGCCCCACCCCCAGGGGACACTGCTTCTTAGTCAAGGTGAGAACTGGGAGGAGAAACTCCTTGGAGGTGGGAGTGGGGAAGGACCTTGGGAATTTGGACCCAAGGTCTCAGCCACCTCTATCCTGTGTCTCCGGGTTGGTCATCATATCTCCCCACGGCTTCCAGACCAGCGAAACTACATGCTCATCAGTTCCAGCCAGTGACCTGTCCCGGAGGTTTGGGATCTCAGCCTGAAAGCGGCTTCCTATGTTAATGTGCCTGAAATGAAGTCACACACACAGACGTGTGGGACATCCACATGTGACTCAGATGGGAAATAAAAGAGGCATGCATGGTGTGCCCTGCTCTGTGGAAATCCTCTGCCATCTCTCAGATGAGAGTATTTGTCACTTCTGACAGACCTACACAGGTGTTCCAGAAACCTCACAAGGGACACTTTCTTCCTTCCTCCAATTTCCTTTGTTGCCAGATTTCTGGCCTCAGGTGTCTCTCTTGGGGTTTAGGACAAGGGAGGGTAAATGCTGATACCTGGCATACTTCTACATCCATGGCCACGTCCATTTATCCACATTCCATGGATACTCAAGAGTCTCACACTGTGCATCACCAATTCTACCTAGAACCCCACATCCTGGGCATCCTGTCCCCATGGGCCCAACTATGGTATGCCTAGACAGAAGGAATATTGGGAGAACTTCCCCCATACACCTGCAGAAATCTACCACTTCTCACCTGGGGAAGCTATATAGCTAGGCCCAATCCCCCTGTGATGAAGGAGCCCATGGGAAAAACTCTCACTGGGATGCAAGGAGGGTAAAGGCATTCCCACTTGGGAAGGACCCTCAGGTTCTGAGTCTGTTTCAACTCACGGTTCAATGCTAATCTTGGTGTCATCCTTCACCATGCAGATGCCAAAAGAGCCATCCACTTGATCTAGAAAACACAATGAAAAGCCTCAAGAAGACAGACTAGAAGTGATGCATGGGGTATCTTCTGCCTGCCTTTACAGAGCAGCTGAAAGCCAGCTCTTTAAGGTGGCATGGTATAGAGGCACCTCAAAAAAGTTGAAAACATAATTACCATATGATCCAGCAACCTCCCTTTGGGGTATTTATCCAAAAGAACTGAAATCAGGATCTTAAGAGATACCTGCACTCCCATTCATGTTCAATGCAGCACTATGCACAGTGGCCAAAGTATGGAAACAACCTAAATGTCCAACTGACAGGTGAATGGAGAAAGAAAATGTGGTATATAGACAATGGAATACTATTAAGCCTTAAAAAAGAAAATTCTGCAATATGCGACAACAGGATGAACATTGAGGACGTGATGCTAAGTGAAATGAGCCAGTCACAGAAAGAGAAATAATGCATGATTCAATTATATGAAGTGTGCAAACAGTCAAATCCGTACAATGAAAGAGTGAAATGGTGGCTGTCGGGGCCAAGGGAGAGAGAGATGGAGAGTTACTAATCAATGGGCATAAAGTTTCAGGAGAGCAAGATGAATAAGCTCTAGAGGTCTGTGGTACAGCACTGTACCTTTAGTCAATACCATATTGCATACTTGCTGAGAGGGTAGATCTCATGTTAGCTGTTCTTATCACAATAAAATAAATTTTTTTAAAAGATTGCATGGAATGGGGATAGGACTTCAGAAAAGGTAAAGTAAGGAACTTGGCAAAATAACAAATTAAATTGATAAAAAGTATTTTTTAAAAACAGTAAGTTAAAGTCTCTGTAAATTGTACTAAAAGTACACAGCATTTTAAGAAACAGTAATTCAAGAAAATTGACTAAATCTTGGTAAGAACAGTGAGAGTCTGAAACATCTGAGCCATGACCAGCACTCCCTTGCCCATCTGACCCCCGGATCTGTATAACAGAATAATCTACTCCAGGTAGGTACAGCCAAGGAGATGGGGGCTCCCTCTCCCTGCTAGATCCCATGCTTAAAGAATTAAAAAAAGGTATAATGAAAATTCCTCATCAAAAAGAGAATACCATTAAGAGACAGAAATTATAAAAAAAAGAACCAAATGGAAATTCTGTGGTTAAAAAAGTACAACAACCAAAATGAAGCTCAAAAGATTTGAGATGACAGGAGAAATGATCAGCAAACTTGAAGATTAGTGGAGATTGTGGAATCTGAAGAACAGAGAGAAAAAAAGAATGAAAGAAAATGAAGAGCCTCAGAGAAATGTGGGACATCATTAAATGCAACAACATACGTGTCATGGGAATACCAGAAGGAGAGGAGAAAGGGAAAGAAAAATATTTGAAGTGTTAATGGCTGAAAACTTCCCAAGTCTGATTTAAAACAACGTATGAGGTGTGATAAAAAAATATGGTGAATGCTGCTGCCGAGTGCCATCCAATGGAAAGCAGGGATCTTTGATACGGGAAGTGGAGATTCGAACCTTAGTAACAGTGTGACAAGTTTCAACTTGTTCGGTGTAGTCAGTCAGGTGTGATCTATGATTGAGAGAAGGTAGGTTTTAAAGTGTGCCATAAATTATCCTCCATCATGACAATGCTCCATGTCACACATGGCTTCTGGTATATGGCAATTTCTGTCAAATAAAAACATTATGGTGTGTCCTCATCCACCTTATTCACCGGATCTGGCACCGTGCTACTTCTGGCTCTTACCCAAAATCAAAATGACCATGAAAGGTAAACGGTTTGAATTGATTCAGGATATCGAGGCAGCTACGACAGCACAACTAAAGACACTCACAAGAGGACTTCCAAAACTACTTCAGAAAGTGGCAAGAACGATGGGATAAGCGTGCTCGAAGTGAGGGGCAGTATTTTGAGGGGTATTAATGGCAATGTGTCTTTTCCTGTAATACATTTTTTAAATTTAAACATTCATATTTTTTTTATTATACCTCATATAAATCTAAGAAACTATAAACTCCAAGTAGGTTAAACACAAAGCAAAATGGCAGATGTAAATCCAACCACATCAATATAACATTAAATGAGATGAAAATGGACTAGATAAACCAATCCAAAGGCAGAGTTTTTCAGACTGGATTTAAAAACATAAGCTCTAATTAATGCTGTCTAGGAAACATACTTTATTTTCAAAGACACAAATAGGCTGAAAGTAAAAGAACAGAAAAATATATACAAAGCAAACAACAACCACAAAAGAGACAAAATGGCTATACTAATGTCAGACAAATTAGACTTGAACACAAAAAATATTATTAGAGATGATAGTCATCGTAATGATAATAAATGATATCACAAACATATCATAATGATAAAGCCAAGCCATCAGAAAGATGTGACAATTATAAACATGCATGCACATAAAAACAGAGTCTAAAAACATGGGAAGAAAAGACTGACAGAACTGAAGGATACGATATACAATTTTAAAATAATGGTTGGAGATTTCAATACTTTCAATAATGAATAGGACAACTAGGCAGAAGATCAACGAGGAGAAGACGAACAATACTATAAACTAACTAGACACAACAGACATTTACAGAGCATCCCAACCAACATCAATAAATACACATTCTTCTCAAGTGCACATGGAACATATTCCAGCCCATAAAACATGCCCCAATAAATTTAGAAGGACTGAGTTTATACAAAGTATGTTTTCTGACCACAACAGACTTAAATTAGATATCAATGAAAGAAGGCAATTTGGAAAATTCACAAATATGTAGGAATTAAACAACATACTCCTTAATAATCAATGTATCAAAGAAAAAATCAAAAGAGAAATCAGAAAATACTCCAAGAGGACTGAAAACAAGAACACAACATACTAAAACTTACAAAATGTAGCTAAAGCAATGCTCAGAGGAAAATCTGTAGATGTAAATGTCTGTTTTAAGAAGAAATCTCGGAATCATTTATATCAGCCTGTTGAGATCTTACTTCCAGGCATATCTCTTTTTGGTTCAAATAAATTTTATAAAACTTAAAAAAAAAAGAAGAAAGAAATCTCAAATCATTTATGGTCAATTGATTTTCAACAAGGTGCAACATAATTCAATGGGAAAAGAAAGGTCTTTTCAATGAATGGTGCTGGAACAACTGAAACCCACATGCAAAAGAATGAATTTGGACCCCTACCTCACACAGTATATAAAAATTCACTTAAAATAGATCAAAGACCTAAATATAAGAGTTAAAATGATAAAACTCTTCAAAGGATACATGGGAATAAATCTTTGTGACTTTTGGCCAAGTAAAACATTAGGTACAACACCAAAAACATAGCTGATGAAAGAAAAGATAAATTGGACTTCATCAAAATTAAAAAACTTTTGTACTGCTAACATTACCATAAATAAAATGAACAAACAGCTCACAAAATGGGGTCGAATAGTTGCAGGAAAAGCACATATCTGATAAGGGGCTTGCTTCAGAATACATAAGGAACACTTACACCTCAATAATTAAAAGATAACAACTCAATATTTTAAATGTGAAAAGGATCTGAATGGACATTTCTCCTAAGAAGATACACAGATGGACAATAAGCACATGGAAAGATGTTCAATGTCATTAGCCATCAGGGAAATGCAAATCAAAACCATAACGAGTACCAGTTTACACCCGCTAGGATGGTTATAATGAAAAGATAGACAATAACAAGTATTGGCAAGAATGTGAAGAAATTGCAACTTTTATACAACGCTGGCCCAGCCATTTTTCAAAACAGTCCGGCTGTTCTTTAAATGGTTAAACACAGAGTTACCACATGACCCGGAAATTCCACTCCTGAATTATTTCCAAGAGAAATGAAAACATACATCCACACAAAAACTTGTACATGAATGTTCACAACAGCATTATTTATAACAGCCAAAAACTGGAAACAACCTAAAAGCCCATCAACTGATGAATGGATAAATAAAATGTAGTGTTCCAGGCAATGGAACAGTACTCAGCCATAAAGAGGAATGAAGAAGCACTGGTCCATGCTGCAACGTGGGTGAGCCGTGAAAACATCATGCTCAATGAATACACTGGACACAAAATGTCACATATTGTATGATTCCAATTATACAAAATGTCCAGAATAGGCAAATCCACAGAGAAAGTAGATCAGTAGTTTCCCTGGTGCTCGGGAATGGGGGTTATGAGGCTATGGGATGTGACTGCTAATGGGTACAGTGCTTCTTCTGGGGAGATGAAAATACTCTAAAATTGTGTGACAGATGCACAAGCCTGTGAATATACTATAAAGCATTGTACACTTTAAGTGGTGATTCATATGGTATGTGAATTCCATCTCAGTAGAGCTGTTAAAAAAGTCACATGGAAGGGCAGGCAGAAGTGTGGTCAGGCTAAATGGCCTCCATGTTTTTCTTCTGTCTGTAAAACTCTAAGCACCTAGAAGGCTGCTGGTCCCAGATGGTCCTGCGATACTTATGAACAGTAACGGGACCCACGGACCAGACACAGCCATAGGCAGGAGACTCTGTGGACCAAATGCCACAAGGGAGGGTGGCTCTGGACACAGGATGCCCGCCCATGATGACCAGGGACCGCCAGCCCCAGCCTCACTCACCAAGCATGGTGCTGATGAGTTTGTCGGGACTGGCCTGAGCCGACGTGGAACAGAGAGTATTGAAATATAGCCCGGACCCCTCCCGGATGGGGCTGAGCATTGGGGGTGGCGTGTAGGGAGGGCACTGGAACAATCCCTTCAGGAGGCGGTCCACCAGGAACACTGGAGCCCGCAGGCAGCTCTGGTGGCACCCTCTGGGGCTCGGCTCCCCAAGTGTGGAGTGGGGAGGAGGCATGAACAATGCCTTGGACTGGGGGCGCTTCTTCCGCTTCCTATGTTGGTTGCACTCCTTGCTGTCTCTCTCTTCCATGTCTTTCTCCTGTCCCTGGAGAATAAGAGGGTTCAGAACCACGGGGGTCACTTGAGCCACCTGCTGCACAGCTCAGTCTTCAAGATGGCATAAAAGTGTTGGAAAAGGGAACTGACCATGGAGACAGAAGTAGGAGATGCACACATCCCACATGTCTGTGCCTGGGCCCCTCAGCAAAGGGGAGGCGAGCAGGGTCACCCCTCCTGAGCAGGACACTGGACCCTAGGCCTAGTGACGGTCACGGCTGGAACCTTCTCACGCACCCACACTTCAAGGAGCAGTCCTGACTCAGAGGATTTTGGTAAAGCGTGAGGCCAGTTTCAGCTGTTAAAATGACTGCCACTTAAAGAGTGGGGGCCATATCAGTGCAACAGTGTGACAAAATGAAAAATGGTTCCCCTCCAAATGACAACAGCTCCTGTGGGACGAAGAATGGGATCCGTGCTCCCTGCCCCCGAGCCCAGCAGGAGCTTCTCTGGGGGATTCCTCCAGCACAGGCTGGAAACACTGACTGCCCAAACTTGCAATGCTCTCGCTTACCTCCACTCTGCCAGTCTTCCTTCTCCTCACGCCTCCTCATTCGTCCTCCAGGTCTCAGCTCTGACACCCCTTCCTCCAGGAAGTCCTCCCAGACCTCAGGCTGGCTCTTTGGTGTCCCCTCAGGGCTCACACAGCATCCTCTGCTCCCCTTCCCAGCCCTGCCCACTCTGAGTCGTCACTGTCTGGAGATGGGTCTGTCTGCTCCACTGGACTGGGAGCCCCAGGAAGAAGGGCAGAGGCTGTCATGTTCATCTTGGTGTCCCCAGCACTGCCAGCACAGGGCTGGATACAGAGAAAGCTCAATGGATGTTGAATGAACTAATGAATGAATGTGCAAACCAAGCTCTTCTAAAGTCAGGATTTTTCAAGGCGTTTGTTTAGGTTTTTCCTACAGCTTCTACCAGCAGGTGGGGAAGGAAGTGGACTGACCAGCACCCACCTTGGCCGTGCTCCCCAGGGGTCGGTGTGCTACAGCCACAGGCACCGACATGGGGATCTCCAAAGGGGTTGTGGCCATGTGTTCCAAGGACTTCTTGACTCCTGGGGGACTCTGCCCATCCCCCTCCAGCCTTAGCACCTGTCTTGGTGGCTTGCAAAACTCTGTACCAAACACCTAAATGCAGACAGGAGTAGGAGAACTGGGAGCAAAAAAAACTGCTCCAGCCTGAAATTCCGACCTACCCCCTCTGAAGCGCCACAGCCCTGACTCCTGGCCCCTCCCCAAGTTCTCCCAGCGGATGGAGGATGTCTCCATCCTAAGTAAATGACACCCAGTCATTTAGTCCCCAAGGCCTGTCAGAAACCCTGAAAGCAGAGAGCCTACTGCGTGTGCCCCTTCACCTGCTGCTCCTGCTTCGTTCGAGGTGATGGCCACTGGTCACTGCGAAAGCACATGTGGCTGCCCAGCCCTTTCTCGGTGTAAAACATCTGGCTGCAATTCTTACAGACATAAGTGCTCCTTGGTTCTTCCCAGTCTGTGGGGCCCCCGTTTTGCTGGTTACTGTGGGGAGACATGGCAAGAGAATGCGAGAATGAGATTCCGTCCCTGATCACTGACTTTTTGATTTTTTCTTTTTAAAGTCTGATCCATTGACAACTCTAGATGAACCCTAAGAAATGGAGATGATGCCCCATTTCTTCAGGGTCTGGTGCATGCCTCTTCAGGAACGAAGCGTCCAGAGCTCGCTCACCCAGGGCCAACACACAGAAGCCATCAGAGGACACCTGAGGGGTTGCACTCCTCTGGGGGCGGGGGCGGTTCCTAAACTTACCATCCACCTGCCATGTTCTCTTTCACTGGATGAGGGAGCCGGTAGATATTTCCACCCTGAAGATAAAAATACACCTGAGCCAATGTATCAGAAATGACGTATTACAAGAGCTAAAACTGTAAGACGCTTAAAAGAAAACACAGGTGTAATTCTTTGTGACCTTGGATTAGGCAATGGTTTCTTGGATGACACCAAAACAAAAGACAGAACAGACAAAGGTGACTTCATCAAAACTTAAAACCTCTGTGCTTCAAAGAACATCATCAAGAAAGTGAAGACAATCCACAGAATGGGAGGCAATTGTTGCAAGTCATATATAGCTGATAAGGGATTCATATTCATAATACATAATGAACTCTTATAGCTCGATAATAAAAAGTCAAATAACCCAATTTAAAAATGGGAAAAGGATCTGAATAGACACTGAAGCAAAGAGGATACACAAATGGCCAATAAGAACATGAAAAGATGCTCAACATCATTAACTATGAGGGCAATGAAAATCAAACCTTAATGAGAGAACACTGTATACCCACTAGGATGGCTACAACACAGGCTGGTCAACAAGTGTTGGAGAGGATGTGGAGAAATTGGAACCCTCATATTACATTCATATGGGAATGTAAAATGGTGCAGCTGCTGTGGAAAACAGTCTGGCAGTTCCTCAGATGGTTAAACATAGAGTTATCACATGACCAGCAAGTCTAATCCTAGGTATTTCCCAAGAGAGATGAAAACATATGCCCACACAAAAACTTGTACACAAATGTTCACGGCAGCACTATTTACAATGACCAAGAAGTGGAAACAATGGGCCGGCCGAGTGGCTCAGTTGGTTAAGAGCTCGCTCAAGAGTGTGTGAGCTCTGAGCAACAGCGGTTCAAGTCCCGGCCCGAGCTGAGCAGCCACTGAGCTGCCACAGGTGGCAGGATGGCTCAGCTAAAAACAAACAAACAAACAAACAAAAAGNTTAAGTATGCACCCTAAAAGAATTTAAGTATAACTACCAAGAGAAAAGGAAACAACTCTGAAACATCTAAACTAACAGAATTTATCCCCAAAAAAGAAAGAGAGAAAAGACTCAAATTACTGAAATTAGGAATTAAAGAGAGGACATCACTAATGACCTTACAAAAATAAAAAGGATTATAAAGAAATATAATGAACATTTGCATGCCAACAAATTAGGTAACTTAGATAAAAAACAGATGCACTCCTAAAAAGATACAAATTACCAAAACTGACTCAAGAGGAAATAGACTATCTGAATAGACCTATAAGAAGTAAAAGGATTGAATTAGTCATTTTAAAACTTCCCACCACAGAAACATTATTGGAACATGGAAAATAGCCAAAGGTTTACAAGCAACCAAGAGAACCCTTGTCAAGAAAAAAGTGAGTGACACGCAGTAGGAGAGCCCTGTGGCATTTTAACTCCCCGCCCCCCCAAGCACAGCAGAGGTTTTGAAGACAGCGCCCATGTCCTGGTATGGGTTCCAGATGCAGGAGGGAGCAGGGAGGATCTTATTCTCAAAGAACTGAGGTTGTCTGTCTTAACCTGTCTTTAGCTGCTGAAGGTCTAACACAAAGGTATTGCCTTTATTTTGCCTAACTTGGAGCTCTCTCAGGGCAAAGTAGCTATTGGGGGAGGGAGCATTTATTGAAAACATTGAAGGCAACGAACCAGTCACTACAGCCTGGAACAAAGGATATTAATTGGGACCAACAACAGACACANAAAAAAAAAAAGCATTACTTTTCTAATTTAAAAAATTAATATAAGCACACATACTTATATGGACCGGAATTTAAGTTAGAAAAGAGTAAAGAGTTTGATTGGTGAGATTTTTATTATTTTTATTATTTTTTTTTAGCTGAGCCATCCTGCCACCTGTTGGCAGCTCAGTGGCAGCTCAGATTGGGCCAGGAATCGAATCTCTGTTGCTCAGAGCTCACACTCTTGAGCGAGCGCTTAACCAACTAAGCCACTCAACCGGCCCCTGGATTCCTTTTTTTTTATATTTCAAGTTTAAAACAAAGGTTGAATGAATGATTTGTAACATTTGGGGAGGTGATATGCACAGACCCCTATGAAAGTGTGGTGAAAGCTAGTTTTTCTGCCCAGCAAAATGAACACCTGTTTGTACCACCAGCATTTTTCAGGTAATTTCTGTGACTTGAGCAGAGAACCCTAACTATTGTACCCCCAGGCCTGGCCCAGTGCCTACAACACTGCAGAGGTCTCATGGAGCTAGGATTTCACACTTAGCTATCATTCCAGCTCTGTCTACTAAATCTTGTGTGGAGTGGGAGCCTCAGAAGGTTTTCTTTTTAGCAAGTCTTCAGGACATTTCTTGAGCTGCTTGTTCCAGTTAATATTAGTCCTGCTTTGCAGAGCTGTTTCAGATGTCGCCTTCTGTGCATATAGTGTGGTTATAAAGTCAAAGAGTTCTAGCTCGGTCAACCCATCTACACAACTTACCCAAGAACCCACCAAGAGAGTTGAAAACAAAAATGAATTTATCCTGTGGGGGAAGCCTAAATGCAAACCAAAAGGAGATTTAACAAAGGTCTTTAATGATTCCATTAGTTCTCCCTTTGCTCCACCACTCTGAAGGGAAGTTAGAACTGAATCAATGGGCTGTCTGAAACTAATTCTAACAATATGGTGAAAATAACTATTATCTCTCCAGTGCTTTACAGTCTACAAAGTGCTTTTACGTTCATTTCTTCTTCTGCCTCTTACTGCTGTTACTCCGGGGGAAACAGAGTGGATAGTATCATTCCCCCCACTTTATAGGTGAGGACACGGTGGCTCGGGAAGTTTAGATAACCAAGAAGCAGATGGACAGGACTCCAGCTCATTCTGGAAATGTGAAAAGAGCCTCTGAGATGTGGTGCTGGATAGGAAAGCCTCCTGTAAACTCAAAGGTCTGCCCACACTACAAGATTAGGATATCCCCAAATACTCAAGTTTCTCAGCATCGCTCCCTAACATCAGCATTCAGTTCCCTTGACTAGGAAGTTGGGTACAATTCCCATGTGGAAAAAGAGTGACTGTTCCCTATTCACCTGTGGAAGGGAGAAATTTTCTTACCCAACCCACGCAGAGCCAACCCTTAGCTGCTGCAGGAACTTTCAAACAGCCTGCCAGGCCCTCGGGCCCAGGTGGACAGCCTCACCTTGTAAGGAATTCTGAGATTCCGGGTCTGCATACTCTTCCAGCAGCTTCATGGAGTCACTGTCCTTCCCCGAGTACAGGGACAGGGCGTCAAGGTTGTCTTCCAGCACCTCGCTGGGCACATCGGGCGTTGGGAGGCTGGGATCCAGGTCCAAACCACTTAGGCCGGCATACAGCAGGTCTCGTGTGCTGGGACCCAGGTCCCGGTTGAGGGAATCACTGCAGTTGAGTCCCTGGCTCTCAGAAAACGAAGGGAGATGCATCTCGGATGGAAGGGCACCCTCATCCCCAAGGCTGTACTGGTCCATGGCTCTCTGCTGCCGGGTCTTGGACAAGAGCTACTCTCCAGATAAGCAAAAGTGTGTAAGGAGTCGCGGGAGAGAGAGCTCTTGGTGGTGTCTAATTCCTGAAAATGAATGAGGAGAATCAAAATCATAAGATGGCAACACAGTGTGGTGGATAGAACATAGTCTTGGAATTCAAACAGACCTGTTTTGGGTCTTTTCGATGCCACTTACTAGCCATGTAACCCTGAGCAAGTCACTTAAGCTCCACGAGCCTCAGTTTCCTCATCTGTAAATTGGGCATAAGAGTACTTCCATCATAAGGTGGTTTTAAGGAATAAGTGAAAGGATTTCTGGCAACATGGTGGACTAAACTGACCTCTTTCTTCAGGTATAAAACAGATAGAAATATGAGAAAAGATTATTTTTACTACATAGCCAAGCTCAAGAGACAGGTAACCCCCTACCACTACTATTAAAAGTGCCAGTGACAGTGAGAAAACTCAAAGCCAAGTCAGCCCAAGGGGAAAACCAGACTCTCTAGATACAGGGCCTGGAACTGTCATCCAATATGGCAGCCACTAGACACATGTGGCTATGAAGCACTGGAAATGTGACTGGCCCCAAACTGAGACATGCAGTGAGTGTAAAATA